GAGAGAGATTGAAAAAAAAAAAAAAAAGAAACACCAAGGCTAGACTAAATGTTTGCTGTGACTTCAGACTTTTAGCTGCACCTAAGACTACAGTGGATGACCTCAAAAGCATCTCTCTTTCCAACTTTATGATTATACAAGTCTAATTCCCATTCTTTCCTATAAAGCTTTATGTTAACAGAAAATGTCACTGTTTGCTGACTTCTCCCTCTATTTCTGACATAGCAAATTGCTTCCTAGTGTGTCTTTGATGATCTGGAAGCTGTATTTTATCTTTATTTTGTCATCAGTCACAGTATCTCTTTAAGGAGAGACAGAATCATTTTATAGATGTGGAGGCAGAGGTTCCTGAGGTTAAATGGTTTGTCCAAATCACATGTGAACTATGTTGGACCAAAGACAGAATATAGCCTCATACGTATTTCTGCAATAAAAGGTAGTGATGACGCATCTGTTAGTTTGAAAGCATTTTTTCATTGGTATGATTTTGAGTTTATGAGTTTGCATATGAGTGTTTTGAGGTCAGAGGTTTAAAAAAATACTCAGAGTGCTGGTGCTGTGTCATAACCATTAAAGGTTCTGCCTGTGACACTGGCATCCTATATGGGTACCCATTCAAGTCCTGGCTACTCCTCTTCTGATCCAGCTTTCTGCTTATGGCCTGGGAAAGCAGTGGAAGATGGTCCAGGTCCTTGGGCCCCTGCACCTGCTTCGGAGATCTGGAAGAAGCTCTTGGCCCCTGGCTTTAGATCAGCACAGCTCTGGCCATTGTAGCTATCTGGGGAGTGAACCAGTGGATGGAAGACTTCTCTCTCTCCCTCTCTCTGTTTGTAACTCTACCTATTAAATAAATAAATAAATAAAATCTTTTAAAAACAAAAATGAATACAACAACTTTTCTAACTATCATGACTACTGAAGGCATTTATGAAGCAGTCAGGAAGAGCCACAAAATGTATCCTAACATTTACTCTGTGGATGCAGGTCTTCTAATTATTACTGTTTTACCCTGGCCCAGAGACACTGAGTCAGTCGCCTGTTCAAAATCACAGTCAGGCAGAGCTAGAAGACAGGTAATAACTGGGGAGAACCTGACAGTAGGACCCTCATAAACTGTAGCTATTAGGTCGATGGGGATAACTCAAGAGTCACTAGGGCATGTAGCATTGAGCACACAGCACTTTGGTAAGAGATCAGCTCCCTTCCTGATAGCAAAGACAGCATAAAAGCTAGCTCTGCCTGAGGGGAGGGAAAGTTTAGGAGTGTGTATGGAGTGAGGATGTGGGAAGTGATCACATTATTCCAAAACTGAAATTGTCCTCTTGGAAATCATAACCTTCAACATTTAGCTACGGGAGGGGGTGTGTGTGAAAGTGACGAACAGGAGGCAGAGATGCAGACCCCTTTTATCACTTTCACTGCCTACTTAATGTATGCCTTGTTCTAGATGCTTCCCTATCATAAAAAAACAGGATGGTACATTTCTTCCTAGCTCTTCCCTTAAGAGAAATCTGTTGCTGTCTGTTGAGCCTTTGGGCCGAATGTGCCATCCCACAGTGTTTCGGTGGAGAGCTGCCAGGAGAGAGTAATAACACCAGCAGCGTTATCTGCTGACACGAGGGACAGGAATACACTTACAGCCCAGACTTGGCTTCTTGCCTCTTGTTAAGGCACCGAAGAGCCGGGCTTACTGACAGCCTGCCTGAGACACACTCGCTTACTTTAGCACTATTCAAATTTCTCTCTCTGGTGTGTGCTGTTTTATTTCCTCCAAACCTTTTATCTTTTTAGTCCCTCCTCTCATTCATTTGTCTTCTTGAGGGCAAAGGAAGTAGCATGAGTACTATCTACCAGAAGATGTAAACCTGGGGACCCCAACCCAGTGGGCTTCCGGGCAGTCTTCAGCCACACCCCTGACCTCTCACTCAGCGAGAGAAGCCCACACCACCTTTTTTTTTTTTTTGACAGGCAGAGTGGACAGTGGGAGAGAGAGACAGAGAGAAAGGTCTTTCTTTTGCCATTGGTTCACCCTCCAATGGCGCACTGCGCTGATCTGAAGCCAGGAGCTAGTGCTTCCTCCCGGTCTCCCATGCGGGTGCAGGGCCCAAAGACTTGGGCCATCCTCCATTGCACTCCCGGGCCACAGCAGAGAGCTGGCCTGGAAGAGGGGCAACCGGGCAGAATCCGGTGCCCTGACCGGGACTAGAACCCGGTGTGCCGGTGCTGCAAGGCGAAGGATTAGCCTAGTGAGCCATGGCGCCGGCCCCCCACACCACCTTAACTTCTTGAGATTCCCCTGTAAAGTAAAAAGTAGATATGGCTAAAGCAAGGTGGCTACACACTTGTTTATTTTCAACTGTGTACCATAGTAAATGCACACTTTTAGCACAAAATAATAGAATGTAAGATAACTGTAAAACTGTAGGCTACTTACGGTATTTATGAAAAATTTAGCACATGACTGAGCTTGTCTGGTGAAAGTTTTTTGTTTTGCAATCCTCAGAATGTGATTCTGTGAGTGTAGGTGTAGCCTCATCTCAAAAGGAAGTTCTGTAATCAAAGTCTGCATAGGTCTGGAAATGTCAATCGCCACCTGCCTCCCCATCATCCCTTTTTCACTCCTCCCTTCCTAATAGGCTCCGCCCTGACATAGAATGGTAACTTCTGTGTCTGACACTGAGTGCAAACTTCTTTGCTTGTGAGTTTATTTCCCAGGTTTCACCAAATTCTCCAAGCAGCTCATTTTCCAGATAAAGTTTAGAATTTCTTGTCTCAAAAATAGCTTAATCTATAAAACCCAGACCAAAGAACAGAACTCTGCATTTTCTGAATTCAGAATATTCTTCTTTAAAGTTGCAAAATCTTTTTACCTTGCAATTAATTTAAATGAGTTTTGGAAGCTCTTTTAAATGAGTTGCTGCTTTACTGTTTTTTAATGAGTAGTAGTCTTGAAATTATTATTTTCTTGGGGCCAGTGTTAGGGCTCAGGTTAGTATGCCACCTGTGACTTGGGCCACCCACATGAGTGTCAGTTTCAGTCTTGGCTGCTCCACTGCTGCTCCAGTGCCCTAGTAATGCACCTGGGAAGGCAGCAGAAGATAGCCCAAGTGCTTGGGCCCCAGTAACCCATGTGGGAGACCCGGGTGGAGTTCCTGGGTTTACATTGGCACAACCCTGGCTTTTGCTGCCATTTGAGGAGTCAACCAGTGCGTGGAATATCTTTGTCTCTCCCTATCTCTGTAATTCTGTCTTTCGAATAAATAATCAATCTTTAAAGAAAATCAAGTAGTATTTTTTATATGCCACCTTTCCATCCCTAGTCAAAAATACTTGTACAAAAAAGTCAAACACAGGACACAAGCATACTGAACAAGCCATGGTCCAAAGCCTTGCTTGATACTCTACAGCTGTGTGTCTCTCTCTGGCCCTTAGTTTCCATATCTCTAAGATGAGGTACTTGATTTCCATTTCTCAAGTCCTTTTTAGCCTGAAAGACCACGGTTTTTTCTTACTCCTTTTCTCCACCTCCTTCCAGACTGTTCACAGAATATCATAACACCTGAGCTCCAAAGTTATTGTCTTAGTGTACGGTCTACTTTGTTAAAAATAAAATGAAATATTTGTTTACTTTAAGCTGAAAGCAGCACTTAATAGGCACTGATTCAGATTTTTGTTTTCCTTGACCTGGTGGCAGTGAAATGTTTATTTTGTTGTCATGCTGAACACTGCATGTCAAGTAAATTCAAATCACAACAGAAACATAAAAATAAAGGAGGAATTAAACTTGGGTGCTTATTAAATTGCCAGCTGTAGAGCTGCACTGATAGTTTAGAGCACTAGGTGGCGATGTAAGTGCATCATATAAACATTTCCTTGATTGGCCCAGCATTAAAATCCTAATGATTGAGGCCAGAACAGGTTAATGCCTTAGTTAAAGAAACAAAGTCAAATAGAATCAGGTGTTGGGATGTTAGCTAATCCTCCGAATGTGTTCAGCAACGCAATGCTTCTTTAAAGAAAAGGCTGTCAGACTGGAAATGTAGCCTACCACTGAGCGCATCTGCAAGCTAGTTCTTGGGGCGAGAGTAGGCTGCACACACGTGCTCTCCATAACGCGCCTAATTGTCCGCTCCCTTCCACTGTGGGTCTTCGTTTTTCTAAAAATAGCACTTGTTTGGGATGGAGTGTGCCTTCCATATATTATTCATTGATGAAGTCCTCTATTCTTGTCAGGAATGGGAGCCCCAAGACACTGGCGCTGGAGAAGGGAAGTAGCTGACTTACTGTAAGCCCTTGCCTGGGCCATTACTGCCTGGCAGGCTGGCCTGCAAGCACTTTGTTGGTGGATTGGGTTGCCCTGGAAATGCCTTCCTGAAACTCTAATGATGCACTTAAGGGAGGCCTCTGGGACAGGAGTAAAATGTCTCTTAGCAGGCGTGTCTTCCACTGAGTCCTCTTGGGAGGACTTGGGGCGAGGCGGGCCTGCTCGGTGAGGCGCTCAGTAGGGAAACAGCCCCTGAGAAGGGTTGAAGGCATCGACTGCTCACAGGTAAGCCGAGCTAATGAGTTACTGGTGTGAACCGGGGGCGTCCTGTGGGCGCCCAAGCATCATGGATTCATTCTGAGAAGTAGCGTTAATTTCTAGGGAGTGATTTATATATGTATTTGTTTACTGTAGTGGTGGCCAAGGGATGAAGAGGAGAGGAAAAAGAAGGGCATTTACTAGAAAAAGGGTCTAATCCAGGGATTTTAAACAACCTGCTTCAGCATCAGGGTCATTTATGTGACCCCTTTAAAAAAAAAAGCTTTAGAAGGGACGCTTACGTTTCAGCAGGAACTCAGGGCATGTGAAAACCGTTTGTTGATTAAAAAAAAAAAAACAACACTCGTGCTCCTCGGAGCACGGCGGTGGTGGGCTCTGCTGGGGGGTGGTGGTGGAGGGAGCGACTGGAAGAGGGCCTTGGAAACTCCAGACTCCGGAGCGAAGTGGCTGCGCGGCGCGGCGTCCCCGCCCCAAGCCCGGGACCAGCGCCCGGCAGTCGCGTGCCCCGCGCCAAGCGCCGCGTCCCCGTGCGGTCCTGGCAACCTGTCACCGCCGAGGACGTGACTCGGAGCTGCCTCCGCTTTCTCCAAGCCGTATTCCTTTAAGATGATGTAATAGTCATTTCCCTGGATGGTTTCTTGCCTGCACTGCTGAAACAACAGCATCCGAACTGCACTGGGAACTGTGGAACCACCCAGCTCCGCCGGCGGAGAAGCCGAAGCCCCGAGCCCCCGCCGGCATCGCTACGCTGCGGCCGCCTCAGGCTCCACCGGCTCCCGCCTGGCCGGGACCATGGGAGTCCGCTTGCCCCTGCGGCCAGGTGGGGTGGCTGCCTGGGACCCCAGCGGGGCACAGCTCTCTGTCCTTCTGCCCCTGGGCTTTTTGAAAAGCTTCTAAGTCCCGGGGCCTCCTGCAACTCTCTTCTGTTTTAAGGATCTTTTCTAAAGGTTTGGGATTTTTTTTTTCTCTTGGAGAAGCTTCGGTCGAATATTTTCCTCTGCTTTACTTCTTCAACTTACCCTGCTCTCATCGTGGTTTAACTTTTTTTGTGACTTGTTTTAACTTGAGAGAGAACACGTACATACATTCATACATATAGATCTATATAAATACTTATATAATATATATATATATAATTATTTTCTAAGCACACGTCTCTCTGGCACTTTTCATTGATACCTCTGTCCTTCACCTGTTTGGGATTTGACAAGATCCAGACTCAGTGTCGCTGTGGATTCTGATTGCTTTGCAAATGGTTATCTCTTCACTAGAACTGGGGCTCCAGCACTCACTAAGGTAAGTGCCAAGACTTAATGATTTTCCTGTCCAGTTGACCAAATGATCCCTTGTTAGAAGTTGACAGTTGCATATTCCTTTTGAATGCATAATTACAAATAGAATTGTTTTTTTAAGACTAAGGGCTGGATCAAACATACAGACACAAAATAGCATGAGACAAGCTACAATTTAGTTGAAGAACAGATGAAATCAGTTCCAGGACTGCTTATGTAAAATATCTCTCCCTCCTTCTATTCATCCCTCTCCTACCCCTCCCCCCCAGAAGTCTCTTTCTGACTCATTCTGGCTTTGGGGAAATAATTTATTCTCTCTTCCTTCAGAAGGACTTCAGAGTAACTGGAGAGTTGGCCAGCTTTGCCTACTGAGCGTGATGGAAGATCCGATGCAGATGAGTTGATTGCATTCCATGAAGTAATAGCTACCACCCTCCAGGGCTTAAGCAACGTTTTCAGCATCCATTCACCTGTGGACGCTTCGAAATTTTGCCTTATTGGGAAAAATATCTGGGTGAAGAGGAGATTGCTTTTAAGAAGTTAGCATCCTTTTCCCTCCCTTACAAGTTGAGGCAGAGGATAAGGCTGTGACTCCAGTGGGCTGTACCTTTAAATCAAAATAGAAGAAGAAGAAAGGGACAATGGCTCTTAGTGGAAACTGTAGTCGTTACTATCCCCGGGAGCAAGGGGCCTCAGTTCCCAACTCCTTCCCTGAGGTCGTAGAGCTGAATGTTGGGGGTCAAGTTTATTTCACTCGCCATTCCACACTGGTAAGCATCCCTCATTCCCTCCTGTGGAAAATGTTTTCCCCAAAGAGAGACACCGCTAATGATCTAGCCAAGGACTCCAAGGGAAGATTTTTCATTGACAGAGATGGATTCTTGTTCCGTTATATCCTGGACTATCTCAGGGACAGGCAGGTGGTCCTGCCTGATCACTTTCCAGAAAGAGGAAGACTGAAACGGGAGGCTGAGTACTTCCAGCTCCCAGACTTGGTCAAACTGCTGACCCCCGACGAAATCAAGCAAAGCCCGGACGAGTTCTGCCACAGTGATTTTGAGGATGCCTCCCAAGGGAGCGACACGAGAATCTGTCCCCCTTCCACACTGCTCCCTGCTGACCGCAAGTGGGGTTTCATTACGGTGGGTTACAGGGGATCCTGCACCTTGGGCAGAGAGGGGCAAGCCGATGCCAAGTTTCGCAGAGTTCCCCGGATTTTGGTTTGTGGAAGGATTTCCTTGGCAAAGGAAGTCTTCGGAGAAACTTTGAACGAAAGCAGAGACCCTGACCGAGCCCCGGAAAGATACACCTCCAGATTTTATCTCAAATTCAAGCATCTGGAAAGGGCTTTTGATATGTTGTCCGAGTGTGGATTCCACATGGTGGCCTGTAACTCATCGGTGACAGCATCTTTTGTCAACCAATATACAGATGACAAGATCTGGTCAAGCTACACTGAATACGTCTTCTACCGTAAGTGCTCAGGGTTCCGTTTCTCTTTCATGTGTATCAGTCTCTTCACAAATGTTTACGGCCTGCACGCTCTGTCAGTATCGAAGCAACACTCTGGGGGATTGTTCTATTTCTTGAGTAAGAGCTAGAATATTAGAGGCTACAATTCAGCTGTCATGGCTTACCTAAGGCATGTTTTATCCATTTTTCCAATGCTCACAGAATATTCAAAGACCTCCAAAATCACAGGATGCAGATAAGATTGGTGTGGAGGGAAAACAAACAAGTAGGCTTTGTTTTATTGCCCTTTTCTAAATTATGAGGAGAAAGTTGACGATTGTAACTTGGCTGTTGGTCCACGAGAGTTTGGTAGACACAACAGTAGACACTGCTTACTCTTCTTCTAGATGAACTTTGGGTTCCATTAAGCTTGTTTCCAAGACTTGCCTGCATCAGGGGCTTTCAGAGCACAAATGGATGTTGTACTGAGTGGTGTAGTCTTGGCTAGATGGCAGTATAGACTGCAGAAAGGCCCCTTTCCTCCCCCCAGGTCTGAAATTGGCTTTTCTGGGCTTTACAAATCTGCTATTTGATTCTTTAGTATTTTGTACTGAGACTGGAGTTGCACTGCAGATTTAATTAAGCTGAGCTTCATTTGAGACCCAAAAGGAAGTAGATCCTTGAGAACTGTCAATCCCATGCAAACACCTTCAGACAGCTGAGGTGAAATAATTACTGACGTAAAAGGAAACCAGAGTGGGGAAGAAAGAAACAATTATCTTATGAATGCCTTTTAAGTAAGGGGTTCATAGAGGTCAGTTTCTTTGCTTAAATAAAGACTTATGGTGCCAGTTGCCTTGTTTTATGAAATGGCATTATTTTGAGCTGCAAACTCTAAAGCATTGATGTCTGAAGGGAGAACAGTAAATCAGCCTGTGCTGTTTAGTGCTTGATTTAACTGCTGATTTCCAGCAGGTCTGGGAGTTGGGTGAGGTGAATTCCGTGAGGAACACATATTTCCAGTGTTAACATTTTCTCTATTCTTTTGGTTAAAGCAAAATCTGAATTTGGGGCAAAAATGAAAATTTCTATAAATACAAGTATGGGATTGAATTTCTTAGACTGTGCTTCTGCCTCTAGCTGTAGTTTTTTGTTTTTTTTTTTTTTCTTTTGGAGATTATGCCAGGGACCTTGGTGAAGAGGTCCCGGGAAGTAGAACTGTGCTATACTGGGCTACCACACATTGCGTGTTTAGCAGTGAAGACACACGGGTTGGATAGACAGGACAGCCTGTGGGGAAAAGATGAAGTCAGCTATTGGTGCAGGAGGATAGTGATGCATGATAACAGACATTGTGTGGCCCAATAACCCTATCTATGGCCTGAATCTATAAGCTGTATCTTTCTTTATGCCTGAGCTTAATCAGCAGGTACTGCTTTCTTCCCTCTGGCCAATTTTCCACTAGTGTGGAGATAAGACTCTGGGCTTTTAGCCTTCTGTTGAGGAATCTGATGTTATCTGTGATTCTGGGGAACAGATATCATCCCCAAACTTTTTGGGAAAATGCATCTCCAACGGAGTTAAAATGGTGTGGGATATTTACTGTGTTGCCTAGTTTCTACTTTTTGAAAGCAAAGCATCCTAAGACGTTGCTGCCAAACAAAGAACATACCAGTCAAACCCCCGAAAGGACCACAGTTGATTTCGCATCACTTGCTCACTTACATGAGACCTGCAGTTGGAAACATGTTTGCCGCTAGCTCAGTGGCATTTGTGTGTTCATCAAAGGCTCATCTGTCTAACACTGTGTCCTCTTTAGATTGCTCTGGAAAGGCTCTGCTCTCCTCATCCTGTAATTGCTTCCTCCTCTTTTGGATCGCTGAGAAGCTGCCAATAAGCAGTTTGCTCTCCACGTCTCCAGGGACAGGCTAGCACATAATGCACAGGAACTTCATACCAATAGCATGTATCTTGCAGATGATAAACTTCCCTTCGAACCCTATATCCAGAGCTAAGTGTTAACTCTTCCTCTGTCTTAGGACCAATAAAACTGACAGCTGGCTTTCTAGGGTGCATAACAGCTTCCGTGCAGCTGCTTAGCCATAATTATTTAATTAGAAGCTGCCAACTGTGCCTATATAAGCATTAATTCATCAAGCTGTTGTACTCGGGTTAATGGGCCAAAACCATGGGAGGTGCTCTAAAGCAGGGAGTTGCCTATATACAAAGACGATTTTCTCACAGGAACTCAACTTCCTCCTGGGTTTAGGAGAGAGAAGTATATACACATATACTCCTTAGATGGAAAGGATTAACTCCAAGCGGGCATATTCTTCTAATAACCCAGGAAATAATGCAAAGCCACTTGGTATAAATCTATATTCAGTAAAAAAAAAAAAAAGATCAGCAAAAAATTAATGCATTACATATGGTGGTTGACAGTCATAGGGAGAGATGTTTTCTTTCCATTTGCCTATGTTCTAAGTTTTCCAAAGGGAACATGGGAGATCAAAATCTAACTATTGATTATTAATGTGCTAGAATCTTACTTCATTTAAATTTTTGTGTGGACCTAGGTTTGATGGTCAACATGAGGCAATGGTAAGTGAAATATGTTATTACAGAACCGTAAACAATTGAAAAGCCAATAGGTTCTGACGTGTTTAAGAGGGAGGTAAGAAATGTGTTTGTCTATACCACTCACATACCAAAATATGATATGTCAGATGCCATGGATTGTAAATCACTTAACTACAACCAGAAAACTTAATATGAGTGATATGGTGGCATAGAAAAGAAACATTTACCCTTGGGTTGCCTTACAGAGTATTTTAGATATGTGTCCTGTGTTTTAATTTAAAACCATGAGAATGTACATTTTCTCATTTCAGTGACTGTACTGAAGGTAATATATCATTAAATTCAGACAACACCATCTTTGATTCCCCTCTAAATAAAATGGGAGCTCAGTAGTTTGGAAAAGAGAAGTCCTGATTTGAAGCCAGATATTCAATAGCTGTTCAACTGCTTAGAAACACAAGAATAGTTGCATGGAAACAAGTGAACTCTTTCTTTCTAGAACCATCTTCCATTGCCTCAGAGGATGGGAAGATTGTTCTTGGTTGAAGAAAATTGTGCACTTTGCCTTACGCCTCCTCATGAGTGAGCTACTTTAGCTGATAGCCTGAAAGCATGAAGATCTGAAGGCATTTGTCTCTAAAAAATAATTGTATTACTATGACCCATATGTAGGGAGTTTAATTCACAGGACACTTGTCCAAAAATATGCACTGTGAATTATGGGAATTACAGAAGAAAAAACACAAAGTCATCATTTTTAAAAACAAATGGCTCTGTATTTTAAGATTCTTCTGCAAAATTCTCTAAATTATATAGATAGTTTATACATGCCTTTAGGGCTACTGATTAGTAAGAGTATTGGAGAAAAGTAGATTGGAAAATTATTTCCCACTTAGAATTGAGCTGTGTGACCTTGTATTGGAACCAGATACTTGTATATGATTATGGCTGATGTGAATAATTTACGGCAACTTGAATCCCAAAGCTTCATTTGAAGCTTTTAGAGGAAAACATGTGGAAATGCATCTATCCCAAGATGATTCCAGCACTTTTTCTCCTGGTTACTTGAAAGACACCATTCATAACTCAAATGTCTCACACCCATTGAGCTACAATATTGACACAGGGACAGCATGGCTCAAAGAGTACGCTTTTTGCGGCTTGGTTTGTCACCAACTCATCTCCATTTTCTTTCGCTTTTTGCTGTCCTCTCATGAGTAAGTGCTCTTTTCATTCTATTGGAGTCATTACTGGTCTCCAGTTCTTTTCCTCCAAGCCATAATGCAATCTTGTCAGGAAAAATTCTGCTCTGTCATTACACTTAGAATGCTTTCAAGGCCTGGTGTTACTTTTCCCAGGGGTACTGGTTCAAGAGAGTGCTTCTCCTAGTTGTAAGTCAGGCAGGCTTTTACCTTGAGGTTGGAAGGTTTCTTAATTGGTAATTTTTGGAAACCACAATTTAGGTATGAAGCTTCATTGTGGAGTCACTTTAGACCTACACCGAGGAAGATATTATGTGGTGACAGTGCAGGAGCAATGATGCATTGTTTTTTATTTCTTTAAGGTGCTGTGCACTGAGAATTAGGCTCAATAAAACAGCAATGCAAACATGTTAGTCAAATATCTTATTAATTTTAATTTTATTTTATACTGCTTTTGCTTCCATGTCAACCAAGGTCTCTTCCTTGAGTCCAGTCTCTTAGGGGAGGTGATAAAAATCGTTTCTTCCCGAGTGTTTGTCCTCACTGGATGGATCTAGCAGCAGAAGCATCAGTAGGACTGGCGTGCATGCAGAAAGTGGGGAGGTGACTCTGAGATCACCCCCACATGTCCTGATACATTGAAATGCATATGTCAGACTGGAAAGATAACACCAAATGTTCCTGACAGCCTAGGGAGGTTTGGATCTTACCAAAGACATGAGAAACAGAAATAACAGGCTATGCCTCAAAGCCAAAAACACAAAACCACTTACAAGCACAAAACTCAGAAAGCAGTAACTATGCATAGACAGACTGTTAGTCCGAGGTATAATTAAAAAAATTTTCCTGAAGTTGAAAATGAATGCTCAGTTCCTGCATCATAACACACTGTTGTTCTTTTCTTTGGTGTCTGTTATGGCTTTTCTCAAATATTTCATTTCTTGGCACACCAGTTAAAAATTTTTTTTATTACAGAACAGTTTCAAATTATCCAAGTGTAGAGATGATAGTATAATGAACGTCTATAGAACCAACGCCCAGCTCCAATAAGTACGGTTACCAACACAAGACCAGTTTTGTTTTATCTAGTCTTACTTACTTTCCCTCCTGTTTGACCTGGATTGTCAATCATTTCATTAACACACAAATACTGAATTTTAACTTTTACAATGTGATTTAAAAACATAATACCATATCACATACAAAAGTAATATAATTCTTCAGTGTCAACAGTTATCT